GAAAATAAGATACATCGTAGGAATAAAGCTACATTTAACTCCTGAAATAAAGCTACATTAAAGTGCAGAAATAAAGATACAAATGATTGCGAAATTTAAAATACTACCACAGAAATCTACTGAGTCCAGCGTGGATATTTTCCTTTTCCATCGCCAGCTTCTTCTGCTGCCTTGGCCTCAGGAGCCCTTTCTTTCTTTCTCTGCCTCTCCGCCTCACGACCCTCCTTTCGCTGTCGTTCCTGCTCCTCCATGCGACGAGCCTCTTCCCTGTTTTTCTTCCTAAATCCTAAAAAAATGGTGTTGCTCCGCATAGTATTCTTTTAACTCTCTCTCTTGCTCTGCTTTCTCCTCAGCTTCCGCCTTCTCGCGTCGCTCTTCCGCAAAGAAACTATTCCAGGCACGGCGACTTCTTTCACGAATCTCAGTCGCTGCCCAAGCCGGCTTCTCCGTGTCAATCCAATGATAGTACATGCACAGAGGCGGAGGAGACTACAATAATAAACAAGAATCTTACTAAAGAATCAATCAAAATACCAACAATATCTATTCGTGATGGTTAAAGCATATCGGAGGCTTGTCGTACTCTGAAATAGCTACGGCAGGATCTTCCTCATAATTGGCGCACATGAAAAACTTCATGCCCAACCAATCTGAAAAATCCATCACCTCCTTCACCTTGCAAAGATCGCCACACCAACACCGCAGGACTGCCAACCCCGGAGGCAAACTTGCATTCTTCATTTTCCTCAGCCTAATGCTTTAATCCGAACAAGGCAAACTCATACCGACTGAAAAAATGTGTTACACACTTTGCGCACTGGCGATTTCGAGGATGGCTGGACGAGAGCCTCGGTGTCTCCTTTTATAGGCTCAGACGATAAATGATGGCGAGAAAATAAGTGAGAACAGAGGAAATTAGGCGAGATATTTTAGGATCCCTGTAGTGTCGGCACAACAGGTTCCCGCAGCATCGGATTCCCGCAGTGCCGTCGTATCCGCTGAGGCAGAAAAAGCAAAAGCCAGAGTGATTCCCGTCAGTGAAATTCGTCGTCCTCCGCGCGTGGGAATCAGTCTAGTTTGCAACAGCGAGCCCGTGAAATTCGTCGTCATTGCGCGCGTGGGAATCATCCCCCAGTCTGCAATAGGACCGGCTGTCGGGCCGCATGCAGCTGTCTCGTCGCGCATGCAGCTGGCCTGTCGGCCTGGGCGCGGCCTGGTCACGAGAGGCCGCCTCACCCCGTGTCGGCCGGGCCCGCTGTCTCGTCGCGCGTGCAGCTGGCATGTCGGCCTGGGCGCGGCATGGGCACGAGAGGCCGCCTCACCCAGTGGCGGTGTGGCCCACCTGGCCTCGCCCATTACGTCACGGCGCGACGCACTGTGGAGAAGCCGTTCGGCTGGGGTGGCCGCCTCCTACGGTGGCGGCAGGGCCCGCCGCCTCCTGGCGTGGCGGCAGGTGTCACGTGTCGCCTGCCGCCACCGCTGAGGGGGTCCTTTTTGTCAATTTTATCCGTAGGTAGTCCTTTTTGGCAATTCATCTCGGCAGGGGGTCCTTTTGGACAAAAAATCCTGGACATGAGGAGTTTCAATTTGGAAGCTCAACAAGAATAAATTTGATCTATGACTACGAGTTGATGTGTCTGTGTATGACAGTATGAGACTGTGTTTGGTCAGAATTTGCATGTGCACATGCAAGCATTTTCTGGACAGTACCTCATCTTTTAGTATTTCGGTACGGAGTGAGTAGTATGATACGAGTTGGAATTTGGTCAGAATATACATCATGTATGCAAGCGTTTCCACTATACTGCACAGAAATGAGAAAATTAACAAAAATTAACCTAGATCAATATTGGTCCGTACCATCGGGGGAGGGGGGGAGGGGGATCGCACGTTAATTTCGAAGTATATTAAGTGCATACGGATATTAAGTACGATATTGTTTACGTGTTATTATGTGATTAGCACTATATTCTGTATTAAATTAATTGCACGTTAAACGTGTTGAGCGTTCGACAATGAAACAGTCTAGGTCGTTGGATTGACATGATTTGATGACCGAGATTAATTGGATCTGCCCCTTTGGGTCTTTTTTTATTGATATAGACTGGTAAATGTGTACGTGCAATGCACGTTAATATTAGATAATATATTAATCACACGTAAATATTAGGTAGGATATTTTAATTATGTGATTAGCATTGGAAGTAATATTTAGTATGATATTAACTACACACTAAACGTGCTGAGCGCTCACCATTGGAGCAGTCTGAGTCGTTGGATTGACCTGATTTGACGGTCGGGATTTGTTAGATCTGCCCCTTTGAGTCTTTTTATATTGGTATAGATATAGATCCATGCATGCACCTCAGTTAAGAGCAAGTACAATATGATATGTAGGCGGGCTATAAGAGATGCTACATCATATTTTTTGCTTATTTGGAGGAGAGAGATGAAGAAAGAGAGAGAGGGGAAGCGGGCTAAAAACTTATAGCCGGCTCTAGCACATGCTTCAACATTCTTTGTGAGAGAAAGAGATGGGTCACACATTAATAATATAGCATAGAGAGCAGCTATTCTGTGCCCAGGCTGCGGGTGCAGATGAGTCTGGGCTCAAAAATGGATATTCAAGCAAATTTATGTATTTTTATGCATTTTAGCTACATTTCAGTCAGCTGACTTTTCATTTTGTGGTCAGTCATTTTTCTGTTTGTTGGATGTGCTTTGAGATCTGTGCAGCTTTCATGTTTTTCTGTTTAATTCTGTTGTTGGGTTGGGCTGTGTGGAATCGATTGACCCTTATTTTGGGCCAGTCAAATTGCTTCTTGGGCTCGTTTTGTTCTTTTGGGTTGCGTTTTTGTTTTTCGTTTTTTTTTCTTTTCTTTGTTGGTTATTTTTAGTTTTGTGCTTTTACGTACAAATACTATATAATATGTGCCAAAATTTCATGATTATATGATTATTTTTGCATATTATGATAAAGTGCAATTTCGGGCAAAGTTGTACGCAAGTTTTATTTTCAAAAAAATTCTCTCTTCTTAAGGGAAATACCAACGCCACTAATTCATTCCTTTTCACGAAAAAAATTATTATTTTGATATTGTTTGTCTTTACTTCATTTTCATTCTACTTTAAGGTTAATACAAAAGCCACTATTCATTTGTTCTTAGATTTTGTTTTTGCATAAGTTCCACTTTTATATGCTTATTCTTGCGCATTTTTTAAAAGCGCAATTTTTATGTCTATTTCGTGCAAATTTTGTCTATCTTTGTTTTAGACTCATTTTCCCATTTTCTTTATTCTTAAATGGTAATACCAATGCCACATATTCATTCTTTCTTTTGTGGGTATTTTTGCTTTATCTTTTTATTCCAGTTTTATGTTTCTATGCATTTTTCCTTTTCCTTTTTTCTTTCCTTGTATTTTTTTGTGGGTTCTAGCTTTAGTTTTTTTGTTTTTCTTTGTTGAGTTTCTTTTTTCTTTATGCATTCTTTTGGATGTTGAGTGTGTGTAAATATATGCACAAGTACTACACGTATACATTATATTAGAGTATGAAAATTTCACTACTATATATTTCTTCTTACATATTATAAAAAGTGCAATTTTGTACTAATCTTGACGAAATCTTAGTTTGAAGTTTTTATTTCACTTTCTCTCTTATTTAAGGGTAATACCAATGACACTAATTCATTCCTTCTTTGAAACTTATTTTTTTTTTGTAAATTCTACTGGTATATGTTAGTTCTTGCATAGCTGCAAAAAGTGCAATTTATGTGTAAATTATGTGGAAACTGTATCACGATTTATTTTTTCATTCTTTTCTTCCCAAAGGGTGGTACCGATGCCACTACTTCATTCTTTTATAGAAAATGTTATATTTTGTGTGTTTAAATAAGTATACACGCAAGTACTATACAGCATGTGTGTAAATTATAGTAGAGTGCGAAATTGCAATATTATAAGCTCGTTGTTTGCATATTACTAAAAGTGCAATTTCAGTGCAAACTTGTGTGCAATTGTTTTCTCTTTTTCTTTTTTTCTTAAAGGGGTTCATTATTCCCTAGAAAACTTTATTATTTTGATTTAGTTGTAGTTTTTTTTATTTTCTTTCTTCTTAAACGGTTTCATTCTTTCACAGAAAACTTCATTACTTTGATTTTGATTTTGTTTTTATTGTATTTTATTTTATTTCTTTAGTGGCAATGCCGATATCATTCCACTATTATATGATTTTCTTTTTATTTTTAGGGTTCAAGCCAGGCTGTAAAAAACTAAGCGCCTATCAAATAATTGCCCTCATAACATGGATAAACACTCACTCAATTTTAATGCAATGTGTGTGCGGTTCTTACCGTTGTCTAAAAGTTGCATTACTATATGCTTACTTTTGCATATTATGAAACAATTCAATTTCTATGTCTATCATGTGCAATTTTCTCTCATTGTTTATTTTATGTGTTTATACATTTTCTTTCTTCTTTTATGTAATACCAATGTCCTTAATTCATTATTTCTTAGAGAAAAAAACTGGTTTGATTTTAGTTTTGTATTAGCTTTGGTTTTAGATCTTGTTTAGCGATTATGGTCAACTTGGTGTAATCTCAGCTGGAAGTATGCATTAGCAATCTTTCTGTACGCATGTATAAAATCTCATACCATACACCAATCAGTGTTCAATCCAATCGTGTCTCTCATAACACAACTTGCTTATGGTACAGTACTGTGGGATTAAAGTATTCGGCAACGCAGCGTTACTGTTATTAGTTGGTGAAAGGAGCAGCATGCACCGGGCCCAAGAGAAACTTGGCTAGTACACAAATCGACTGAACCAAGCTTTGGTCAATTGACTGACACAAATAAATTTTCAGTCGACTGTCTGCTAGCTAGTCCCATTTTTATGTGGCTTGTGTGTAAATAATGATGCATGAATTTTTTTGGTGATTTGGCAACGTAGGTGGGGGTCATCATTCCGTTCCCCCCTTCGTGTAATGGAGGGAAGACTACGTGCAGTTTTCATTCTTGTCATCACTTGGGTTGCTCCCTTCCTGTAAAATCATCTTTACCTTGTCAAGCACCCCCTCTATCTGCTTCCTGGAATGCAGAGGAGAAGGGTACAGGCACGCACAATCCAACTTGCCATCCCTGATAGAGTCGAACAGGCCGATCGACGGGCCGATGCCATGCACGGTGGCGCAGCAGACATAGTCCTCCACACCAGCCATGCTCTGCAGATCAGACACGTCCAAGGTCGACGGCACCTCGAACACGGAGACGAGCGCTGTCCGGAGCGCGGAGGCCGTGGTCAGCTGCGGGTTCTCGATGGCCCGGCACATGAGGAAGTTGAGGTCGCGGATGTCGGCGAGGTGCTTCTTGTTGTTCTTGGCGTTGCTGTGGGCATCATGGCACCTCCTGGCCAGCGCCCACAGCCCTCCCTCTCTATTTACCTTGTGGGTGTTGGTGACAGCAGAGTAGAAGAACCCTGCAATGATTAACGGTGTCAAGCTGTTGCAACGATTAACGCAGTAATAAGATATATTCTTCTAGCTTCAAGGGCTCACCAACGTTGTGATCGTTCAAAGGTGGCTCAAGAAACTCGCGGCAGTTGATGAGGGTTGCAACGGAGTACGTCTCTTGCTGGCCGCTGTTGAACAGCTTCTTCGATTGCCGTGCAGCTAGCATCGTCGCCGCAGCCATGGCTGAGCAAAGCCTCACTCCGTTCTCCTTGCACGCCTAGATGATCATGTGAAACGAACCAGTGATATGTATGATGCAGTACCAATGTGTGTGTGTGTGTGTGTGTGTCCCGTAGAAGCAAACTCACAGCGAGCAGCCGCGTCGTGTCCTCACGGCCGAACCGGAGGCGCACCATCTGCGTCGACCTGGCCGTGCCGGTCTCCTCGAACGGCAGCGTGGACGCGCGGAGCCCGTCGATGGAGTAGCCCACCATGTCCACCCCACGCGCCCACAACGGCTTTCGCGCGTCCTTCTTCGGTATCCTCTTCTCCAACCCCGCCTCCACCGCCGCCGCCTCCTCCTTCACCTCCGGGCCGCCAACACCCGCGCCGCCCAGCAGCGCGAGGAGCTCCCTCAGCAGCGCCTCGGACGCCGCGCGGTCGCACACGGCCGTGTGGACCAGGACGAACAGCGCCGCCCCGTCCGCGGGCGGCGGGAGCTCGTAGAGCGCGGCGAAGAGCACCGGGGCACCGTCAGGCCCGGGCGCGGCGGCCGCCCACGGGTTGCGGTTGATCTCGCGCTCGAGGAGGGAGTGGAAGTCGAGCGCACATGGCTGGGGCGCGAGGCGTAGCTGCGGTGCGGGGGAGGGGAAGGCGAGGGTGGGGTTGGAGGCGGGGCCGAGGAGGTGGGCTCGGAGGACGGGGTGGGCGCTCTGGAGGGCGCGGACCGCGGCTTCGGCCGCCGTGCCGCCGCGCGAGAGTCGGAGCGCGATGAGCGTGGTGCCGGTTCCGCCCGGCGCGGCGCGGCACCAGCTGTACTCCGTGCCGCACACCGCGCGCGAGCGCCACGCTGCTTCGCCGGTTCCGGAGCCCATGCCGGTACCGGAATCCATGCTGCTGCTGCTGCTACGGAGGGTTAGCGCGCGCGTTTGTCGGTCTGGATCGGCGACGCTGCGCCTGGTTGGTCGGTTGATGCTGCGTCGGGTTGCTGTGCCAGAACGGAACGTGCCGATGGATTGCGCATTTGTAGCAGCTCCAAGGGCAAAACGCAACCCTGGTGCTACTTTTTTGCTATGTGGCTGTCGACTTTAAGCCTGCTTTCTGCTAGTAATTAACTGCTAATATTTCATCGATGTACTCCAAAAACGCAAGACAGGTACGCTTATCTTCCACCCGACTGCTGCACCTGCTCAACTACACGGTTGCCACGGTTTGTCAGGGAGCACCACACAATGCAATTGCGATTAAATGCTGGAACGAGACACCAATTAGGCTCCGTGTAGAACCGGAGCAATACTAGACCTACTAACTGGATTTATTTCAGAATTTCTGACGATGCTTTCAGTGGGAGGAGATGTTTTCGTTGACGACGAATTGCCTATGGTGAATTCGTAAATTTCAAGATGAATATGCCGGCTCAGTCTTTCGGAGGTGCTCATAGGCAGTAGCGGAGCTAGGTTCAGCATACGCCCCAGGCAAGCAGTGTAACTACAGTAATCTACAGTGTAATTTTTGCTACAGTATGCTAAAGTTAACAAAGAAATAATCCACCACGCCCCAGGCCAAGGCCCTGGCTGCCTGGGGCCTAGAACCGCCACTGCTCATAGGGGTAGGGTGTGGATGTGTGCGTTAATAGGGATGAGTGTATGCGTGTGTGTATGAGCGCTTTGCATCTGTACTGTGTTCAAAAAACTGTTACGTAAGGATTTTTATGTATAAGCTGATGTGGTAGTGTGGGATTGGTAATACGGGAAGGAAGGGGCCCGACCGAAAATGCCAGACCTATGTAATCTTATGTACTCCCTCTACGTAACCTTCTTAACAAACCCCCCCCCCCCTTGATTTCAAGTGGGTGGGGCCCTTCCCTTAATTTTATCCAACAAAAAAATGCTACGCAAGTTATTATGTAAGTTAAGTAGAACTGTTTACGTAGGTGTAGCATTATTCGGGGCCCGTCTCTATGAAAATCAAGGGGGCAGAGGTAATTAGCTTGGAAAGTTTAGTAAAATGTTAGTAGAGTTCTCATGGGTGTAGGATTATTGCACACTTTGTATGGAGTAAATTGCATAAAACCACGAGTAATGCTACATGTATGGGCATATCGTTACCGAGATTATGGACGGAGTAAATTGATGGCTTGGGATTGGTTAGGGGATGGGCCCCACCAGTGAATCAAGGGCTGTGGAGATTATTACGAAGGGGTATGTCCCAGCCCCGTAACCATCCAGTAATTACCCGTAGGTCTAGGATTACACAAATCCATTGATCTAAGGTAAGAGATGTTTGTTCAACTTAACTGTCACTTTTAGGACAGGGTGATGACATATAGCACTAATTTAGAGCTTACCATGTTTTAAGAGTGAATCTGATCGATGGGACCCACACGTCAGGTTGAATAGGCATACTTATACGAACATCGTGCTAAGGTGGAGATGGTCCCGCATGCTGGTGCTATAGTCCTTCCTTGTTCGGTGTACCACGAGCCTCACACATGAGCTTGCGTTTTTTTTTTTTTGCTTATAACCCAGAAAGCACATGAATAGGTGCTTTTTAATTTATAAACCAAAAAAAAAATGAAAGGCCACAAGTTAAGCCTAACCAAACAACGACCTCTTAAGCTTCCCATGAGAAACCTCAAGCTCCTTTCAAGCTTTGTACCCCTTTAGCAACTTCACCGTTTCTCTTTTTCTTTAGCAAGTTCAAGTTCAAGAAGCTTGCTATTTTTGGTCTCTAGATGAATATAACTCTTGAGAGAAAAGGCTAACTATTTCTCTTCTATTAAAAGGTTTTCTTAGCTGTTAATGGTTTCCTTAGCCTTGTCAAAGTGATCCAGATAATTTTTGAATTTTCCAAGAGTTTTACCATTTGGCGGAAACATGATGCCATAATCTTCTTCAACCTCTTCATTTAATTCACCGTCATCTGAGTAAGTTCACATTGAATCGTGGGTGATGATTGGAGATGAGAGACGAGATGGATCCATTACCTTAACTTCGCTTGCCATGAGACAAATGGGTGAGCATCCCCATCATCAACGATGCCATAGTTTTTGAGTGTGGTGGCCTCATCAAATGTGGGAATCGCCAACCCAGAAATCCTTACTGCTTTACTTTCTCCATCTTTGTCACTCAAGTTGTACCCTTTGGCTTTTGCTTGCGTGTCCTTCTTCTAAGCCTTGTCGTCATGTAGTACGGTTTCTTTGGATTGGAATTCTTCTCTTCCTTCTCATTATAGCGGGACTCTCTTAGCTTGGGATAATCGGCCATGAAATTCTTTGGGTCCCCGCAAATGTAGCAAAAATGCTTTTCGGATGAGGACCTCTTGTTGAACTTGCCCTTCCTTCATCCATGGTTTTGAAACCCTTTAGCCATGAGGGCAAGTTCTCCAATCCCTCTGGAATTTCATGAAGTACTCCTTGTCTTGGCCTTCATTTTCACTTGACTCTTGAGCTTGCACAAAATTGGCTTTTATGTGCAGGATGAGTCTTCTTCTTAATGACTTGATTTTGATGCATCTCCTCGATGGTCTTCGCAAAGTTCTCATGAGCAAAGAACAAAGCAAGGACATCATCGGGAGAGAGATCATTACAGTCCGGTCTAAATTGAACATGAAATCCGGTCCAAATTGGACACGAAAGACCATGCTAGAGTGAGTTGGCATATGGTCAAAAAGTTCTCTTTGCTCTTAAAGATAGATAGGTTGGGTGTCTTCATGCTAGTGTTGTGTTCATGCAATCTCTCGAGCGCTTCCCATGGTCCCTTGGATGTGCCATGGAGTCTTACATGGATGAAGACAATGGGAGTCACGGCCTTGAGAATCAAAGACAAAGCAAGGAAGTTAATTGATGACCACTCACCTTCGAGGGAGTGAGATTATTCATATCGTTAGAAGAAAAAACATTCAAATTACAAAACTTTGGGTTCCTGGAGGCTCCATGCTGACTCTGGGGCGAGTACATAACCCTCTAGCCTGGTCACGTCCGGAGGGTCCATATGCCTGGAGATTCTTGGTCGACCTTGGGTGGCTTCCTAGTGAATTTAGAAAGCAACTAGACTAACGCAGAGTCCATCTAGAGGCTCTCTGTCAGGCCCGACAACAACAATGGCTAGTAGATATATGGATTCTCTCTAGGGTGATTCAGTGGGTGTGGTTGTATATGAAATGTGCAAAAGTATTTGAATTCCACATCCTTTCCAAAGCTCACCCCCTCTTTATAGTATGAAATTTCCTATGACTTAAAGAAACAAAATCGTAGCAAAATTAAATCATGCCATCTTGTTTTAATCTTTTTTTCTTGGGCGGGGAGGTAGATGGTTTTCGACCACGTTTGCTTCATATCATTCAGGCGTAATCACTATGTATACAACTCTAATCACCTATCATTAACCTACCCACCCTCATATGGGCTTTAGATTGCTTTCACCTAGTTTTAAGTGTTTTCTTGAAGATGTGAGTTTCTTTCATTCTAATTGGCATTGGTGAAACTCTAGCACTAGTTCTATGTATAGCTAATTTTTAGGTTAGTCCTAGATAATATGTGGGTAGTGCTTGTAGGATAGTGTTATTATGTATGCACTAGGGTTAGAAATGGGTATAGGGTAAGTGCTGGATAATATGTGGTAATAGATTTGTCCTTGATGCATTTTTTCTTTCTTTACATTACTTCATTTTAGATTGCTAGAATCATGATTGTCCATCATGTGGACAATGTAGTATTCTTAAGTAATAATACATGTGTTACTGATACATAGGAGAAAGTCATGGCATTTGTCACAAAGTCCAAGATTGTGGAAGGAGTGAGGACTGATTTGGATTGCGCAGAACAAAATGACGAAGTTTAGTCGGGATCAAGGTATGATGTTAGGTTGGGACATCGTTGTTGCGTGAAGATCATGCCTATCACATCAAAGCCACAAGGCATACAAGGAGGTTATGGTCGCAAGATAATTCTTGGGTTATTTGCTACGAAGGTTGGTGGTGGTTAGTTGCATATTGATTTGAATCGATGTGCCTCTGCATGTAATGCTATGAGCCTGGCTAGAAAGTGTCTGCTTCTTGATGCTAGAACTGAGGTGTATGAAACAAATATGAGCCAACCGCCCATGAGCCAACCAATTGAGTTGACATGAATGGTAATGACGATGTTGATACACAAGAAGGTGATATCCCTTTCCAGCAAAGCGATGCCTCAGACTTAGAGGATGAGCTTCATGGGGACGCCCTTGGTGATGTAGACACAACGTGTAAAAGTTGACATGGACCGTGACATCCCTTG